GGGTTTGATTCCTGGACTCAACATCACATGTGTTTGCTAGTTATCTCTCCCTTGGGTTTGATTCCTGGACTCAACATCACATGTGTTTGCTAGTTCTCTCTCCCTTGATTTAAGCATTTTTTGAGTTTCACCAGTTTTCCTCCCTCCCAACCCTAACATGCTAGATTCGAATTTGATATATAATGTGAGTTAGCCATGCCCTGCATTTTGATCAGTCCAGAGGCTGTTATAGAGTATTGATAAAATCAAATTATTTTTTTAGTAGAATTTCCAACAGTTACTGGCATATTTTTACTATGTTACATCTGATATCTTAAAATTCAGTCTTAACAACGAGGCTTTAGTTGTAAGGTAATTCATGCATGGTACAAACACCTATTGGTAGGAATAGAATAATGTACCATAGATGAGGTTCCTAACTTTCATCAGTTCAGTGTTCAACAACGTTATAATCAAATCTACAGCAATCAACAGATCCTTTTGAGGTTTAATGCAATTTTCAACATTTTATTCTAGAGAGTCTTGGTATCCTGCTAGAGTTTTAATATCTCGAATGGCTTATTTCATAATCTTGAAGTCTAAACACAAAATCAAACATTATAAATTATAATGTAGGTAGACAGTAGCTAGTCTCTATAATGAGACAACATTGAATAGTCTATTATACCACACCTAAATTTGTCTGGTAAGAATGTCAAGACAATTAAAGAGCTATTATAATGAGGAAAAAATTGGCCAGCTTTTCACAACATGTGGTCGAACCAAGTACCATGTGAAACGCATGTAACTACGAAATGGCTTTTAGTATAAGTACAAAAAGAGATAAAAAAATAAACAAACAAATGTAAAACGAAGGAAAATTTATTAAAAAGATACTGAAGACCTCTAAATGGGCCTCGGAATGAAAAATAAGGCAAAAAAGCCGTTCAAAAAATATGTTACCTTTTCACATGCATGAAGTCAAGGGCGATAATCTCCCTTAAATACATGTAAAGCTTCGCCCCCAACAGGCAAAACTTTCTCATCTACAACTAAATCATTTCAAGATTTATAGATTGCTATAGTATAATTCGTTTTTTAAACAACCTATCTTTTGAGTAATTTGTATTTTTTTCTGGTTGTTTTTTATATATATAGCATCAACACGAGTGAATACAGCCGGGCACTTGAACAAGCAAGACTGTATTCTGCTCGTCTCTCGTGGTCAAAACAAACGTACCTTAAATGGCCAGCTTTTCCTTTAGACTCGGCGACCTCTTTAAGTCTGTACACAGATAAATTCACGAGAATCAATAAAAGAGTTGATATGAAATAAAAATATATTAATAAATCGCAATGAAAACCGAGAAAAAAGAAACGCAAGCCTAAAAACGTGTTGAAGTTTTCCCAACCTTTCGTGGAGCTCATCCACCGTTACCGGCAAAGGATGGACGGCAAAATGGATAACAGGCATTCCCAGACCTGTATGAAGCTAGTTATTTCTATAAACACATACTAGGAAGGGAAGAAAAGGTGAACTAGACGAGGAATATTGAACAACAAGAAGAATAAACTGCAAGATGTAGTCTTGTTCTTGCCGCTAATAACATCAGACGCCTGGCTTAGTGGGTATTACCACTGGGTATGGTTTACGCGGGCGCAATGGGCTGCGCGCGTGCATGACGTCTTTACTTTTTTTTAAATCTTTTGAGCTATTATTAATTATTATTTATTATCAATTGTTATAATGCAAAACATAAAGATGCTTTTTGAAAGATTCAAACCGGATGCCTTTGCGCACCCAAGAAATCTAGTCTCATGTTCATCATTACTATTTTTGCCCCTCAGCGCGTACATGGCTACCGCATGTGGTTCTATCTTGTTCTCCCCTTAGCTTCAGAAATGTTTTTTTCGGTTTCTCCGGTTTTCTTCTCTCTATCAGCATTCATATTCAGTTCCACGGTAACAGAGCGCTCCGCCCGACCACTTTTCTAAAATTCACTATTTTCGCGCTAGCCATCACGTAGTATAAATTGTATTACATTGTGTTACGGTCACCAAAAAGTACGAACGTTGCTCTCGGATTCCCATACAAATGTACTTGTTTTTGAACAAATCATTTACCTTGCTTGTTCATCTGTTTCTCTAAAGAGTAGTAATTAAAAAAAGTTAGATAAATTATATTTTGCTTGTATTGAGGGAGCTAACTAAACAAATTAAGTAAATAATTTGATTAATGAAGTCAGTAAATTCGTCCCGCAACCTTTTAGTGAGCGTTACACAATGCACTGACAATTTGTATCACTTGATGGCTGGCGCGAAAATGGTGAATTTTTCTGATACATTTTAGTTAAACCAGATTAATGCCTGTGGGCAGGCTACTTTACTCTTTCTAAGAAAAGGCATATGCTCATTATTTTAATAGCATAAAGTTCACATCCAGTAAAGTGAACTTTGAAGCTTCTAATCCACTCCTAAACCACATTCGTTTGTCCATTAAGTTTCTTTTTTTAGTGCGGATTAAATGCACTACAATTTTTAAGTTTTGACCGTTTTTCAACTAAAAAAGAAATCCAGTATTCTTTTCTAGAGAAACATCAGGCCATCAAAAGTTTGTTTGAGTAAGCGTAATATTTAGGCCACCCATCCGAATCCTAGCCCTCCAAAGGCGGGCTTGACTTATTATCTTCGATGCCCAAGTTTTTTCCACTGGACCACGGTTACAGGTGAATCAGCATAACAATAGCCGTGAAAACAATGCACCGAATAGACTAGACTTTTTAACAGTATTTTTTCAACCGATTCCGTGCGT